TACACAAACAATGTCTACTTAACCATTCTATAGTTTTAGGCAACCAATTTCATAATTTTGTCTGATAAATTTTATATGTGGCTTACAAAATAATATTTCATCAAGAATTATTCCCCCCAAATTGGTTCCAGGTACTCTTTCATTTTAAACTCTATGTAATAGCTCCACTAAATAGTATAAATTTACTTTTACTTTCATTTTAAAATCCATCCATCCATCCATCCATCCATCCATCCATCATTTTTACCCGCTTGTTCCTTGTCGGGTCACAGTGATTACTGGTGCCCATATCCAGCAGTCACTGTGCAAGAGGTGGGGGACATCCTGGACAGGTCTCCAGTCCATCACAGGGACACATAAAGACAAACAACCATTCTCTCTCACACTCACACCTGGAGACAATTTAGTTACCAATCAGTCTAACATGCATGTTTTTGGTCTGTGGGAGGAAACTGCAGCACCCGGAGAAAACAAACAAAGAGAACATGCAAACTCCACCCAGCAAGGCCCCCCCAGGCCGGGATTCAATCTGACAACCTTTTCGCTGAGAGGTGGCAATTCTACCAACTGCACCACCATGTTGACCTTACATATTTTATTAATTTCAAACTATTTATTATTATTATTATTTTTTTCAAACATTTTTGGGGGAAGTGGTGGCGCAGAGGTTAGAGAAGGTGGGCCTGTGATCGGAAGATCGCCGGTTCATGTCCCGGCACCGACAACATCAAAAATGTGAATGGGATAGGTGAAGCACCCACACTTGCCCCCACCCTCATTTGCCCCACTCTGTGCCCATGAGCAAGGTCCTTAACCCCCATCTGCTCCCTAAACAGGTCTCTCTTGAAAATGAGTTCTCATGGCTCAATGAGACTACCTGTAGAAATAAAAACATTTTTTTTCAATAATTTCAGTTCCTTTTCTACATCTCAAGTGAGTGCTCATTTGATCATGTGTCTTTCTACCCACTTCTTATGTTTCTGTTCCTATTTTTTTTTTTGAGAAAAAAGTTAGTTCAGAATAAAATGTATAAGAGTAAAATGGTTAGAGAAGGTTATAAAAAACTTTTCATAGCAAGATGTGTCTTACAGCTTTGAGATAAGCCCACTGACTCTTCCCATCAGCTGCCTCCCTGCCGACCCTTTTAAAGTCTCACTTTACGTCACTTTGGACAAGTAACTGCCATGATCCATCAAGTGTCCCAGAAGTATTACCTGTCCCCAGTGTACAGTTAGAGGTCCAATCAGTTTATAAAGTCCTGGAAAGACTGAGCAACTTTCTCCAGGATTGACCAATAAGGGACTGTCAACCTGGTGATGATAAAGCTATGTTTGGTCTGGTTATAACATTTCAAGCTAATCCACTTGATAAACATATTTCCTTACTTGCAGTGTTAACAAATAAACTATAATGGCCAAATTAATAATCTTCTTCTGAATTACAAAAAACAAACTTGACCTAAATTCCAGCTTGCATTAAAACCTAAATAATTGCTGTTTAAATAATTTTCTTGTTTTTATAGTAATGAGAATTAACCCTTGACTGATTATGATTGCATTATCTTGGATTTTTAAACTATTAGTTTAGGTAATTACATGTGTTCTCCAAATTATCATTCCTTGTCATCTTGCGTTGTTGATTTTTATTATTGTATCATAGACAAACCAGTAGTTCAAGGGCTTTGCATTTCTGTTCAGCTTGTTCCTTCTGCAGTATAGACCAAACCAACAACCTCATTATTGCTGACGAGGCTCTCATCCGCCACATCCATTGCTCATAACTAAGACTTCCAGATACTTGAAGTCCCCGAATTGCAGTAGAGACTCTTTTTGACCATGTGAAGATGTGATGTACTAAATCACAACCTGTAAATTCATACTGAAATTCTAGTTTGCTTTAAGAAAATGAAGATTAAATACCATATTTAGATTTACATAAAAAGAAAATATATATTACAGTTATCAGGTCATCTGGACAGTTTGTTTTTTTGTTGAGACGTTTCGTCCTTCATCCAAAGGACTTCATCAGTCCGAAGAGCCACAACAAACTGAGTCTCACAGCACACCCACATAGTGGACCAACCAGTTTGCTGGTGATAAAATGGTTTCTGGTGCCCACCCTTTCCCCTGTTGACTCCTCTGAGGCAGACATAACCAAACTGGTTCAAAACATAAAAGTTCATGCTCAATAATCCAGGTAGAAAATCCAACAAAGTTCAGTCAGATCATCTGAATGGTTTATTTTTTGTTAAAATGTTTCGTCCTTCATCCAAAGGACTTCATCAGTCCGAGGAGCCACAATAAACAGAGTCCCACAAGCAGCACACCCACATAGTGGACCAGTCAGTTTGCTGATGATAAGATGGTTTCTGGGGCCTGCCCTTTCCCCCGTCGACTCCTCTGACTCATCTGTCGATTATATTACAGTTGTATTTTGGTTTTATTACATGATGAAACGTTACAGAAACCATACGTTCTGTGGGTTTCTGTTAATTTTCAATCAGAATTATTGTAATTACATGTACTTGAATGTAAGAACCTGGGCGAGTCTTGTTGTATGCATGCTAAAGTCTTGGGATGGAAATGGGTGGACATTTTCAGGTTATATACTCAGATGGGTTGTTCCTGTTGGTTTTTTATGTTTAGTGCTGGGTTGGCATTTATCTTCAGGTTCTTATTAGTGACTAAAAAATTACACCATAGGTCAGAGGTTATACTTGATGTATAAAAAAAGGGAAAGCGTTACCTGTTCAGCAGGTTTATGGTTTGTAATAATGATAGTAACGTATTCAGACTGTAACTCCATAGCAGTTTTATCAATAGCATTTGTCATGTTGATCTACTATATTGTATTCTATCTCAAGACCTAGTTCTTATAGTCATGGTTCACAACCACTTTTTAATAAATCTAAGTGTAGGCAATTAGTGAAATTACTATATATATATTTTACCTAGCATGTAGGAAATCAAAAACTAAAACAAACAAAAAAATGTGTCTAAAAACCTGCCTGGATTAAGTGCATTATGACCTGGAGTTCAACCTCAGTGCCATAACTGACTCCTCCTCAAAGCTCTGGGGTCCAGACCTGAGTCAACCCTGATAACTTATTCGGTCAATGTTTGACCCCAGCCAAGGAGCTTATTCCTAGCCAAGAACTTAAGCAAGCTAAGTTTGAAACTGTAATCCACATGACTAATCTCCCGTCTTGAGTCTGCAGTGGTCTTGTTTCATATGGATTATCTGGAATAATTTAGTCAACTGATAGCACAAACATTGTGCTTCAGTATTGTTTTTTTACACATGCATATCCAAAAGTTGGCTATTGTAATATTCAGATTCTTTTGAGACACTGAATTTAATTTTTCATTATTTGTAAGCCTGAGTAATCAAAATAAGAAGAAATAAAGACTTGAAATATTTTGCTCTGTAATGAATCTATGTAAAATATGAGTTTCACTTTCTGAAATGATTGACAAAATAAAGGACTTTTCATAATATTCTTTTTTTTTTTTAGATGTGCCTGTACAGGTATATGTGAAACATTCTCTTGTGACAGTGTGCCTCTTTTAAGCTGTTTGTTCACACATTATGCAAGATTTCCGTTTTATTAACAAAACATATATGAACTATTTTTAATTGCTCTATTAGAATGCTGTTCATTAAAGATGATAAAACAATTACTAATAATATATACATTTTGATTCAGTAGAAATAATATGAAACTCATAAAGTCAACAAAACATCTGATCTGACTGATGAAGATAAATTTAAGATCGAGTTAAGCATAACGCAGTGGCATTCATCTACGTGTTGAAAAAGGTAAAGCTGTGTTTTTAATTAGCTCAGTTTAAAATAAAACTTGAACAACAAGAATGCAGTTTTTTGTTGCATTGTTTTAATTTCGTTTGTATAATTTCATCATGAATTTTCAAAAGATTATGATTTTGTTACATTAAAGCAAAAACAAGAAATAAATACAAAACAACAGATAAAATAAGAAACATTACAAGAATTAAACATTAACACATTTGACACTTGATAAAAAAGAAGGCTGAATAGTTGCAACACATACTGAATATGAACCATTAAAAATTAACAGGAAGGTTGATGTTGATAGTCATTAACATAGCTTTAACAAAAACAAAAATCAAAGATTACCATCATAAAATTAATAGTGATAACATTTAGTCTTCTTGTATTTATGGTATTTACAGTACTAAAAGTAAAAAGAAAAAAGGCCAAGTAGATTTTTTGAAACAATTTGTGAATATAAAAACTACTCGTTGAGACACTGAATCATTGAAGATATGTTGTGTTGCAAATTTGTATAAAAAATCTGGCAGGACTTTACCGTCACCATTCATTTCATTGTTTGGTGTGGTCCTTGTGAATGCATCCTTCAGCAAGTATGAGAGGAATATGATTGATTTTGGCTCTTTTCTAGCCAGGAGACTTATTTTATGCAGATGGAAGGATCCGCATCCCCCGGCATATGAACACTGGATAAGAGAAAACCTGTCATATTCATTTGGAAAAATTTAGATATACTTTGATATGATCTGTTGAGAGATTTTGGGACACTCGGCAACAGTTCATATCTTACATTGAAAGGATGTCAATGCCTGTTTAGTGTATGCATATCTGTGTAGCTGATCTGATTTGTGAGGGGTAGGGTGGGAGGGTGTTTTTTGCATTCTAAAATCAATAGTAATGGTAAATGGACTGTACCTATAGCACCTTTCTACCTTATCAAGATACTCAAAGCGCTTTACACTACAATCTGTGCCCTCATTTACCCATTCATACAGAACTTTACTAGCTCTATACAAAGACTAATCAGTGCTTTAGATCACATTCATACACCAATGGGACACACATCGGAGGCAATGAGGGGTTCAGTGTCTTGCCCAGAGACACTTCAGTATGTGACTGCTGGTGGAATCGAACACACAACTCTTGCATTGGAGGACGACTGCTCTAACCACTCAGCCACTGCTGCCCACAAACTAAAAAATCAATAAAATAAACATTTATTAAAAAAAATAATCTGGCCGGATGAAGCCATGATTGTTTATCTTCTGTTATCATGGCAAAGGCCAAGTTGATTTAAGACGTCAGAAGTATGCACTTTTTCTCCTTTGTGCCAGTAACCATCCAGTAGGGTTCATGTCCAACCTCAACATACTGAGCACCCATGGGTCCTGCTGTGCACCTTTAATAAATTCATCCATGCTGACAGTACCTGTAAAAGAACAGGATATTCCAGATTGCTATTGTCTCTTACATTAATATTTTCCTCATAGAACAAAAGACTCAACACTCACCATCATGGTCAATATCAACCGCTTCTAATATTCGATCCACAACCTCATCGACTGTAAGATGTGGCTCACTCACTTCTGTCTTTGATCGCTTTTTTATCCGAGAGATGCTCTGGACAAAAGGAAGAAGATACATCAAATTGTATTTCGAACATGAATCCAATTTTACCAGAATATTTGCGCAGTTTATTTTATTTTTAGACAAGACTCCCATCAACTGCACAGAACGTATAACTTCTTATAGCGACGATACAATCAATAGTAGTGTAGTAATATTCTTTAAGCAAAAATATACCGGTCATTAAAATAACAGCACCGCCTGTATTACGATGACATTCTGATCTTTTCCCCAAAAGACTGCTCAAACCTACCAACATGGGCTTCTTTTAAGAAGGAAAAATTATTTAAAATATATCCAAAAAAGTTCAATCTGGTCCTCTGGACATTCAAAAAAACAAAAACAAAACAAAGCAAAAAAAAAAAAAAAA